CGGTCCATGCTTTCTATCGCCCAGGCGCGCCTTTCGTGTCAAGCCCGCGCCCACCGCTGCCCCGCCTGCCCTCGCCCGCCTGCCCTGCTTTCGCTGCCCGGTAATGGGATGGCGTGGCGCAAAAATCAATCTCAATAGGGCTTATTTTCGGGGGAGGGCTTATTTTAGAGGAATGTTACACAGTAAGGGGAGGGCTTATTTTCGGGATAGGTCTTATTATCGGAGAAACACGGTATGTCATAAAAAATAATAAAATGTTAAAAAAATAAAATTATGCAGGGGATGGATAAAGTGGATAGAGGGAAGCTCTTTTCCCTCTCACATGATACCAGAACCAGGGGACATTCACTCAAATTGAGTGTTGAGAGAGTGAGAATGGAAAATATTTCTTTACCCAGCATTTTGTTAGTCTGTGGAACTCCTTGCCACAGGATGTGGTGATGGCATCTGGCCTAGATGCCTTGAAAAGGGGATTGGACAGATTCCTGGAGGGAAAGTCCATGGCAGGTTACAAGCCATGATAGGGATGTACAATCTCTAGGCTTAGAAGGAAGGTACCTCAAAATGCCAGATGCAGGGGAGGGGTATCAGGAGACAGGTATCTAGTTGCCTCGTGTGCTCCCAGAGGCATCTGGTGGGGCCGCTGTGAGATACAGGGAGCTGGACTAGATGGGCCCTTGGCCTGATCCAGCAGGGCTCTTCTTAGGTTCATGTCTTCTTATGTGTTGGTGTGGTCCTCACAGTTCTTCCTCAGGAAATACATTCCAAACAAGATGTCCTGTCCTAAAAGCTAGTGTTACCCAAGGAGGAGGGCTAGAGAATTTTCATTCCACAATTGCCACTCCGCACTGTCTACTTCCTTACAAGCAGAGGAGGTGGCAAGATTGAGAGGTACAGTAGAACTGCAACATTAGCAAGAGTGAGAATAAAAAGACTGCCAACATGGAAAAAAAATCACTATCTCTACGATTGTACTTATTTATTTATTTATTTATTTATTTAACTTATATGCCGCCCACTCTGGATTTGTTTCCATGAGGAAAATAATATGGAAACCAACCATCAACCATAATAATACAACGGTTAGAGCCCCTGCATGATATAAAATCATTACAGACTACACCATCTGCATCTCATAGTCATTTTCCCTCATTGTTATTTTTATACCCCCATGTGTATATGATTACTATGTTCCAATCTAAAGCTAACAGTTTACGTTACAGGGTTGGAAAGCTTATGGATAATTTCAGAGCAGTGCCAGCAGTCAAAAGATATTATGCAAGCATTCTATCTTTCTCTCCTTTACATATTGTTTTTGAGCAAGGCAAAAACATAGGAACAAGCACTGGCAAAATATGTGAGAGTTACAGGAGGAGAGCAACACCATCCTGTACAGACACCTTGTCTGTAAAATTCTATGTAAGGGCAATTGCACAACAAAAATCTCACCTGGAAGCACCCTATTAGAAGAAACCAGCTAAGCTGCAATTTGAAACAAATTTGCTAGAAAAGAAGCATCACTGAATTACTCAGAATTTTCTTTTGAGTAAACATGCACGGAATCAACCAATAACGCAAAGGCCAGAAAAAGCAACCAGCTCAAATTTGTGTCAGGTGTTTAAAGAGAATACATGTGTCCCTTTGTGGAAGACAAAGGGTCTAAACAGTGGCTTTTCCTCATTCAGATTCATTATTTTCAGCAACGAAACCCCACACTAGCTCACAGACAGCAATAGGCACAACCACCTCCTGCTTCCTATACTGTACCT